GAAGAAGAATAAGCGAATAGCTTTTATGAATTGCAGAAAGAAGTCCAGTTGTCCAAGCTCGCAGTCAGTGAATGTGTTTTTTTGCAGCGTACCTTTACAAGAACATGGCAAGCCGTTCTTCTCTATTGATAATAAAATTTTCGAAATCGTTGCAAGCTTTCAGGGATCAGTTTACGTATACAACATTGCAAATACCGAAATTCGCATTTCATTGGGACTTTTGGTTTCTTAAAACGACGCTCGTGCCTGTTTTTATAGGGTTCGCTACCCATATGAATTGAAATATGAATCGATGCAGAGATAAAATAAAAACAAAATCCCTGAACATAATTGTAAACGCATCACGCCTTCATGAGCAGTAAATCGCCAAGAAAACGCCAGTTGGTAAGCCTTCATGTATGTAACTTCGCCATGAACATAGGTAGCCCAAGACAAGAATTTTGAATTTGTTCAAGTTTTCATTCGCGTAGCATAGGAACACACGAGTTCAGTGAAGATCGTAATACCTTATCTCTCGCAATTTTCTGCATCTTTCTCTCTCCCCACTCGGTCTCTTCCACTAACTTCACTATCTTCCTCACCACATATGGGTTTCTCCCTCTCTTATGTATTAATTAAGCAGAGAAATGTTGACCCGCGGAATTTCTTATTAAATCAATTTCTTCAACGTGCTCTGTCTGGGTTGTAAAAAAAAAAAAAAAAAAAACGAAGCAAATTCTAGTCCTTTAAGCCCTTATTAGATAAGCAATTTAGAAGAGATGAAAACTTTTGGGCATCGCTTGCTGCAGTATGAAAGAGAGAATTGCATCGAATTTTCTTTATCGAGAACGAAATTTCTCACAATCTTGGTTAAGCTCATAAATGATTATCATCAGCGAATGCTGACTTAATCACTAAAGGGGAGAATCAGGTTGAATAGTATCGAATTTGACATTTATGTCCATTAATCTAATTAATTCAAAAAGTACACTTGAGGCTAATCCGCACGGCCTAGCAAATTATTTACCCATGATTACGAATATATCCATCATCGATACCGCTTACGATATCCATATACGATATTCATCTTTCCCGATTGCTGTATTACGAGAGAAAGTGAAATCGCTCAAGGTCAGATAAAGTGCTGTTCGTTTTTAACAGTTTGGAATCTCTGATTAACGCAACAGTAAATAAATAAGAGTGAGAAGTTACTCTACAGTCCGTTCACCATTCACTCTCAATGCTCTAAGTACTTTTTGAGCATTTACCACTTTCGGAAGTGGTACAAAGTTAGCTATGTAGTATGTTTTTTTATTTTTTTTTTATTTTTTTTTTTTAATTTATTTATTTACTTTTTGTTTATTTTCTTTTTTCTAACAGATGTATTCTTAGTTACTGCCGAGCTTCCCCTTTCTTCTTTTTTTTTTCCTTGCAATATTAAATTTAGTATGGATTTATTTTTAGACATTTCTCTCTATGAGTTTGTTTTGAATACAAATTTAATTATTTTAATGGGAAAAGGATATGCAGAGTCATGCAAATACATATACATATACATAATCTGTAAGCTTTTATTAATGAAGAGGAAGGATCAATTTTTTTTTTAAATCAATTTTATATTTAATACAAAACTAGGCTTATCTAGAGGACTACAGTGCTTTTCATTTAAGCGAACTAACTAAAAAGTAAAATTTCTTCACAATAATCGATATATGAAAGAGAAAGTGGTTGTTGTGGCTACGAAAGAACTAGAATGATGACTTAAGCGATAAAATGAGTTTTATCACTTTGAAATATTCAAGAATGAATCTTTAAGGGGCATATGAAGGATTAATGTAAAATTCTGGCCCGGTAATTATGCCACAAATGCTTTCGCCTTCGCGTTTATACAACGGCTCTTGCACTTTCCGAAGGGTCTCCCAAGGGGATTTCTCTCTTTTCCGAAACGCCTTATTGCCTATTGCACGGAAAATCATGCGATTTTATTGATTAGTTGGCTAAAAAGAAAATCAGAACGAATTAAAAAAGTAAAGCCACTGTAAATACTTCGCTAAACTTATTTTTCACCTTTTTTTTAGTAATAGCGTAGTTAATAGCAATGTTAGAAAATGATCATGGGCGTGGCACAATTTTAAGTAGTCCAAAAATTTGTGTACCATAACTTTAGCTCCAACTTTTTTAATCCTCTCACGAATCGTTAAAATATGTTACATGCTGCTATTTTCTATAATGGATCGGTCCCCTATCTTTCTGTTATTCATATTAATGACTTTTCAAAATTAGCCGTAAAAGTGTTGCGATGTAAAGCGTTTTCAATAGTATGCGTCCTTGTGCCAAAACACATCAGTATAGCAAATAGCACCTGTAGGATGAATCCAAGAAAACAGGATGGGCGGAGAGACGGACGGATAGACAGACAAGATATAGTAATGTGATTGTGAAGCGTTCGGTATTATGAAAGATAAGTCTATCTCAAGAACTTCTAGGTGTTACACACATCCACACGAACTTAATCTATACTTGAACTACGAGTGATGTTGAACATAAAAATTTCCCTTAAAAAGTGTTGCGATACAAAGCATTTTCAATAGTATGCGTCCTTGTGCGAAAACACATCAGCATACCAAATTGCACCTCTAGGATGAACCCAAGAATACAAGATGGACGTATAGACAGACAAGATATAGAAATGTGATTCTGAAGCGATCGGTATAATGAAAAATAGGTCTAACTATTTGTTTAGAACTTCTAATGGCAGATAAGTGTTCAGTGTCATCTAAACTGATTTGAACTGAGTCAATTAATGATAGCGGATATATATATGATTGGTCTGAAGGCAAGCACACATTTTTAACTTGTTTTTAATCACTCTTGTGTGTTTCGTAAGTTGAAAAAGTTTTTTCGGCAAGCTGTTGACATACTTGTATCTGCCATGTTGACATCGACTAGTCAATTAAATGAAAAGCACAATACTTACCTACAAATAAATTTATTTCTCAATGTCCTTTAGAAGGAAAGAAGAGGAAAAAAATATTTTTTTTTTTTTTTGCCTTTGCAAATCCTTAAATATTTAATAGCAAAAGAAACAGTGAACGTTAATTAAAACATTTATTTAATTAGGTAGTTCTCAGGCCAACTACATGCGAACTTTTCTCTTTAACATTAAACACAAGTAACCTGTAAAAGTTAAAAATACTTTCATAATAATAAACTTCAATATAAACTTTACTTTAAACTTTAATATAAGCCATTCATCGAACATTTACACAATAAATGTAATACAAACCCTTTGGATTAAGACCTATACGGTTTCTTCTTCTTCTTATTGCATATATATATATTTAGGTTTCTCCAAAATTTTGTGTAAGTTTTGAAGCAACTTAAAAGATGAAAGCCAGATTCTTATAAACTTGTTTATTCGATTTAAGGAAACGATATGCGAAAGAAATAAATACATTTGCAATTAAAAGTTTAGTTCTCCCTTAACGGCATCATCGCTGGATGATTGAAATAAAAAAAAAATGTGTTAATCAAATTTCGTTTATCATCTAATGATAGGTCCCGCATTAAGCATGACACCAATAAATTTTTATTAATTTTTTTCATTAATTAACCTTATAGTAAATATAGGTATTTACAGGCCTACAATAGAGACATATGACGATCTCATGTTCATTTGTAAGGAATATTTTCAAGAATTTTAAAGCTTTGTTTATCTTCCCCTCTTTTATCTAAAATAACACAATTTCTATTCAAAAGTCAATTGATATTTACATATATAATGTTAAAATAGCTTTATTTATTACATAGCTTTGATCATTTATTATGGAGAGCAAAGCAAAAAATATATATAAAAAAAATTCATCCAACGTGGAAGCAGGGCTAGACCGAAAATCGATATGAGGAACAATTTCCGTTCCGACTTTGGCAAAATGGCCAAGCCGTGCTTTCTTTACCAGTTTGGTATGAATTGTAGGCAAATACTGAAGAGAATGATAGGCAGCCTTATTAGCTCCCGCTTTGTTTCTTTTTTTTCTTCTTAGTTTCTTTTCGGACAAAAGAAGTCAAAAGCTTATCTTGGCAAGCAAGAGTTGAATGCTACCCTTATTCCGTTTTTTTTCTTCTTTCAAATGTAAACCATATTCTCGGACGACAGAAATGATTAGCTTATAATTGTATAAATTACCCGAAATCCAGCATTGATCTATCCCACCATTTTAACTCTGTCCGCTTTCAAACTGAACGCTCATTTGTTCATTTCTCTTTCTCCAATCATCGTCCTTCCTTATCAACACCATGTACTAGGTACGTAGGGAGGATATCCGCAGAATGGCTTGTGAAGTAAAAAAAAATAAAATAAATAAACGATTGAGAAGAAAAATAAATTTTCGAAATTATTCATAACAGTCGATTCCCTTACATAGGTCAGTGCAGATTCCTTTTCCCGAACTTGCCTCTCATAGAAATATATCTACATGTCACACATTTCCCCTTCAATTTGTTACAATCGCTATTTATTTAGCTAGAGAAATAATTTCTAAGACTAAAGTCTTGAAACACTAGCATCTAAGACTATCGGCCTTGGTTCCGCCTGCATTTGTTGTTCAATGATATTAGTCTTGGATTTTTCGTATGCAGAAGAGTCAGGGAACTAATTGCTCTCTTTCGCTAATTTCATATTTTGCTTAAGCCTACACTTATACGTATCTCTTTTTCTCTTTATGCATTTTCAGATAATGCTCAAGCAGTATGAAAGAACTAATATACTCGCTGTACGACTATACTAATATAGTCACTATACATTGTGATGGATATGAAAATTTTGAGAAATTATATTACAAAATATCGGTTGTCATCATTTGGACACTTGTTGATATGTTCGAGTAACGCCCTTACAATGAATATTGTATATAAATGACGATTGAAGGTAACTATAACCTAAAGGTGGATATCACTTATTATATGTTGATGCGATGTAATTATTGGATGCAGCGAATCAAAAACGGAAATATATAATTGTTACATCAAAGTGACAATCAACAATTATCCATATCACGTCACACGTTCTGTTCGATACCAACATAGTTGCAGAGACATAACAATAAATGCATATAAATACTTTTTAAAAGCAATAGTAATCACGTACAAATTGAGCAAGAACTGCTGCGGAAGAGTGCTTGCTTCATTCAATATTTGACGAAAGCAACAAAGGAATATTAAAATTAATATTAAAAAAAAAAAAGAGAACAATAGTAGAGCAGAAAACGTAATCAAAATGAAAAAGTATATCATTACGTTCGCCATAACGTTGTTATTGTCGTTCGGTTTGAACAACGCACAGAAGCCACGACGCGATGAAAATGTTAGTATCAGAACACAATCAGCCAATCAATAATTACCTTGTTTTAAATTACGAAACGAGATAATTCAGTCCAGTTAGTAGCAATAAATAACCGATACGGACGAGAGAGAGAGAGAGAGAGAGAGAGAGAGAGACATAAAAAAGAACATTGTGCACATTATGTAAAAGTGCTTGCTTGCTTGCTTGCTTATCGGTCGTTTCATCGATATCCTCCATAGTTGCACTTGAGTTTTATTATCTATCTACTAGTGTAACAACTAACTATGAACAAATTGCAATTTTACTTGTAAGTAAGCAATGTTGATTAGAGCGACATAGTTAGTTAATTGACATAAGATGAAATAGATTAGAAATTACATATGTATTGCTCTTCCAATGGACATAAGACTTTCACACTTCAGTAAAGAGTTATATATGGGATTAAACACTCGACTAAGTGAGATTTGATGACCATAATTGATTCAAGTATTTAGAGTGATGATGATACATTTCATATGAAAAAGTGTAAAAGTGTGAAAAACTAATACTAATGTAATACGTGCTCGACATTTACACTCGGATATAAACGGATCTTAGGTTTACAATTTTATACGAATGCCAATACTCTTTGCTAAAAGGACAAGCTCGTAAATTACTGGCTAACGAGCTGTGGAAAGACGTCGACCCAGAACCGAAGTAGTGTGATGAAGAAATGATCAGAAATAAGGAAAGGAAATTATCCTACACTAATGTCGCGCAACGTAACAGGTCTAGACACATATTGTCGCTAATTGATGCAATTGTAGTCTGCACTTCGAGAAAACTGGGAGAACACATCTTATACTGACGATGCTGGGAACTGGGAGAACACATCTTACACTGACGATGCTAGGAACTGGGAGAACACATTTTACACTGACGATGCTGGGAATTGGGAACACACATCTTATGCTGACGATGCTGGGAATTGGGAGAACACCTCTTACACTGACGATGCTAGGAACTGGGGGAACACATTTTACACTGACGATGCTAGGAATTGGGAGAACACATCTTACACTGACGATGCTAGGAACTGGGAGAACACATCTTACACTGATGATGCTGGCAATTGGGAGAACAAATCTTACACTGAAGATGCTGGGAGTTGGAAGAGCACATCTTACACTGACGATGCTGGGAACTGGGAGAACACATCTTACACTGACGATGCTAAGAACTGGGAGAACACATTTTACACTGACGATGCTGGGGACTGGGGGAACGCATCTTACACTGACGATGCAGGGAACTGGGGGAACGGATCTTACACTGACCTTGGTAGAAATTGATGTAACCGCCTTGAAAATTTCCAGCGGATACAACGTGCTATTCGCACTGATCGAAATACCTTCCAGTCCGAACAAACAAGAAATATTACTTGATCCTTACTTCGTTGTTTGCGTGAAATTATTCGCCAGATAATAGTGCTTCTCAAACTACGCTATATTTCGACTTTTTTTCGTCAGACGTTTTACTCGCCTGATTTAGATTTTTAAAAGGCTGCTCCATCAATACCCTGACTTAAATGAAGAAACAAATCCGAATCGAGCAAAGCTTTAAATGAAAGTAAAAAAACGTATCTATGCACAAAGCTTGACGCAGACGTAAGATAGAAATCTGCCGAGTTAACGCAAGAAAACTACTCGTTGCACACGTTGCGCGAATTAGTTTAGTAAAGGCTTTACTAACTTTTTACAACATTACAATGCAGCGATGGTGGCACTCTGGTGGGTCTCTTGCTCTTGCTTCTTTGCGTCTAGAAATTTCTAAATGATTGATTAGTTGGTTTGAGAAAAAGTCGTGAGTAAACGAGATACGATAGTTCTTCAAAAAGTCGAAATAGTAGAATGTCAACGAACGAAAGGTGCATAAGTGTTCTTTCCATCAACCCTTAGAAGTTTGTTTGCAATTGTTTTTTTTTTTTTTCTTAGATAGCAGCTCATTATGTAATGCTCTATCCTAAAATAACTAACATATCACTTTTGTCTTAGTATCCTCCGCCGGATTTCTTAAAATTCTTCAAAATTATTCATGAAGTTTGTGTAGAAAAAACCGGAGCTACAGAGGGTAGGTAACAAATTGTGCGTGACGTATCTTTTCAATTTACTTTCGTTTTTTTGTTTCATCTATGCAGAGGCCATTAAGGAATTTAGCGATGGTGAAATTCATGAAGATCCAGCTCTTAAATGTTACATGAATTGTCTATTTCATGAAGTGGATGTTGTCGACGATGCTGGCGAACTGCATTTCGAGAAATTAGTACGTATGATACCGGAACCGTACCTTAAAATGTTTCAACACATTCTCGATGCTTGTGTATCTCATATACCGAAGGGTGAGACACAATGCGATCGCGCTTGGTCGTGGCATGTTTGTTTCAAACAAACCGATCCAGTGGTAAGAAAACATATATTTTGCATAGAAGTCTTGCAATTATTTGTGTTTTAATCATTTCGATAATTTCAGCTTTACTTTTTGCCGTAAAAACATAAACTCGGACTTTCTCAAATTTCAAGTGTACATCCATGCACGCGCTATTACTTACTTACACTATAAGGTAATCTTTCTTTCTTGGATATAAGTTTTCAGATATCCTGCAAATGATTATAATACAATAATAAATCGTTAATTGAACCATTTTGCCTGCAATTACTAAAAATAATAACGGGACCTTATAGGTCCTTAGGTCTCTAATATTCATACATTCATACAATTAATCAAAATGCATTTTATGCACTTTCTAATAACAAAAAGCAAGCTTTTAAGAAGTATGGAGTATGTGGCCAACCGTCTGCCATTTACTATTATGTAATATACGTAGACTTGGTTGTTCAAGTTCTATATAAACTATTGCAACATAGAGGGCTAAAAAAAAAGTCTCGTTAAAAATTTGTACTTAGTGTTCGTCGAATAATAGAAGCGACTCTACAGCGTTGACTTTTTACACACTTTTCAACGTTTGGTTTGTCAGTGAATCGCGTTCACTTCCGAAGTTCTCCTATTCTGTGACTTGGTCGCCGTGAAATCGTACATTTTTCAATAGTGTGCTATTTCGATTAGATGACAGAAGTAAAATGAGAGATTTAATATGTATCCTTCGGGGAAGGGCTTAAAAATCATAAAAGCTGAGGTGAATATAATAAATCTATGAAATCTAGAATATTTTAAATCGTTAAAATGCAACTTTGTTTTTCTATGTAATGCAACACTGTACTTTTCTCTTATGCCTTGTAACACTCACACTTTTTGCACTTTAGAGAAGAAGAAAAAGTAAACAACAGGTACTTGATAAATGTAAGGAGATATACTAAGATTAGCTCGATTAATAGTATACAAGAAATTTCAAATAAAAAAGAAAACTAATTCTGCTTGCTCTTTAGAGGCAATATTTTGTCATCCTGCTATTTATTTGCTTTCGTTACTTTATTGATCATTTTTTGTTTTCAATTTTGATTGGATTAACTGACTGACATCATTAGTATTGTATAATATACATACCCATAATATTGGATAATTTTGATATTACATATGAGGGCATACTACAGAAGCTGCCACAACGTCCTCAAATAATAATTTATTTAAAATATTTATTCACATATCAAACATAATGCGCGTAAGCATACATTCTGCATACCCATCATCGAAGAATGAACGATTTATAGATTTGTCATCCAGGAATACATATTAAAGGGTACGTAAAAAGAGCAAAATTCTGATTTAATTTACCGCCGTCCGACCTTTTATTAGTTGCTTGTTATTGAAACTCTCGCAACGGTCGCAAAAATTAAAAGTTAAATCTGGACCGTCTATTACACACACTTTGCTTTACAATTCGTTTCCAAGCACGTTCACGTTGTACAACAAATCGTAACGTATAACATATATAAAACCTTGCGGAGATTTATCTGAAATTTGGTAAAAAAAATTTCGAAAATACAGCAAAAACACTTCAAAAAATGCGCGCACGGTGAGCGAAAAATGCCCCTATAATTTTACATTGGTGTAAAACATGGGTCAGATATTTTCCAGTCCCAGTGAAAAGGCTTGTAAGAAAATGGTTCTAGCTTTAATTGATGTAATATCATTGAATGTAATGTCATTGTCCTGATAGATCGACATTCGGAACAGGCTCGTACACCCTTCGATTTCCTCATTCCCTGGCTCTGCGTATTGCTTTCATTGAATAGTGTACCCATCCCTTACTTCCGCTGATCCCAAATATATATATTTTAAGGAATTCGTACTCATATGCGTACTCCTGTGGGTTTTCTTGTTTTTTTGGTCATTTAATGTCATCTCTATATGGGGTATGAAAAACACAAAACCATATATTCGTTAAGTGCTTAAAATGTTTAAAATATTTTCTACTTAGTTGGCATTTTTCACGTTTCAATTCGTTGCTTGTTTTTTTTTTTTTTTTTTTTTTGCACCCACAATTAAAGCATTAAGGATATACTAATTTTACCAGTCCGCTTACAACATCGCAGAATATGTATTATCCGAAAGGATGGATATACATTCAACAATATCCGTCTTTCGGTCTATGCGGGAAAATAATTTCGAATTTTTAATTTGAATTTTGAAAATGGATTGATTATAAACGACAACAACAACAAGAAAAAGCCCCATAGCTAAATGCTTTCAAATTTGAATTAACATCCTATGGCGAGCAATAGTTGGAACAAAAAACGAGGACAAATTTTTCACGAATACTCAGTGCAATGTGAAATGTCGTAAAACGCAATGATATTCAGATGTGATTTAAATGTGGGGTATAACAAATTCGATTAAAGACAAATGAAAAATTTTTGCAATGTGAAAAGCATGAAAACTAAATAATTGCAAATAAATTCTAACAACGACAAAATGTTTTAATGACCGCAAGCAAATACATATGATTACGATTCAATTAAAAGGGCAAACAAACTAAAGCAACCCAATTACAATACATTATTCATAGCGTGCGAACAGACACAGCAAACCCAACAAGAAAATTAATTTAGCCATAAGGCGAATTTCGAATACTCTACCAAAACATCAAATGATTGTTAACTTTAAACCCAATCTATTATATATATATGTATATATATATATATATATATATATATATTAAATGAATAACTAAAGTAAAAATATATTGAAATACTTAAGTAATTGGATGAGTAAAGCATAAGTCATTGGCTTTCCTGTGTAGATAAATATGATGTTGGTTCTATCAAAGCGTAAGCGGACAGGGTAGCATGGCTTTTCAGCAATGATGCTTTAATTTTGGGTGTGTGTGTGTGTGTGTTTTTTGTTTCCCCCCACCCACTGCTGATAGTTCGTGACTGTAGTCCATTAAAAGCCACTTCCTCCTACTCCTAGTCCGTACTCTATGAGAAGGCAGCTTAGGTGTACTTTCGCAGGGAGAGAGCTGCCCTGAAGGCACAGTTAGTCGATCATTCTTTGTTTCTTCAATATGTTTGCGGCAAACATTCTTACCGCTTTCCAATTTTTTAAGCCGTACAGCAACATGTTCATCGCGAAGATGTACGGGAAAAGAATCTCTCCAATTTAAGTCTGTCGTCCGTTTTGGTATTTCTGGCCGCCTTATGTAACATTGAAAATAATGCAGAAAGTGCTAGGCTCGAATTTAAACTGCTAGAGTTAAGCTCGGAAGCATCCATGACCGCTAAGTGGTTGGGTCACGTACAAGTCCTCCCTACTGAGCTGCCTCTAAATCCATTTGGTTATGTTTGGAATGAACTTATGGGTTCGTCTACAGATAAACTTGGAAGCATCCATGACCGCTAAGTAGTTGGGTCACGTATAAGTCCTCCCTACCGAGCTGCCTCTAAATCCATTTGTCTAGAATGGAATTGTACGTCTGTCTTCTCTTCAAAGATTCAATCGATCGCGCCTACCATTCATAGACCAGCCAACGCCTTACCAGCGCCTGTGCATGCTTTACTACTTGCAAAATGTTAAAATGCCTTCAAAAGGCTTTCAGCTTCACTTTATAGTTACTTGAAAGCTATAAGGAATCTTACGTCTCTTGGTGTTACGCAACGTCCCGTTTCGAATGGTCGCTCATCTCGTTACTTAGCAAATGGTAAACTTAATAAACTCGATAGTTTGAAAATGAATGAAACAATAAAATGCATTTTAACATTTTCATATCTAATAAATATGTAAACAAAGATATACATATGTACATTTTTATATACAATGTATACTCCTCTAAATAGAAAAAAACAAAAAAAAAAAAAGAAAAACATAGAGAAACACCAAATAAGTGAGAACAGGACGAGTAGGACAAAACAATTGAGAAAATTTATATACGCCTTACGGCGAATCATGAATACGCGCCATTTGAACAATTTCCTAATTCGGTTGAGTTCTCATTGAGGTATCATTATTATCTCGTGGTTACGTTTTATATCAATACCTTTTATAGCCTGTGTGTGTGTGTGTGTGTGTGTGTGCGTAAACGAATTATAGCAATATTTTGAAATCAAAATTTTTTTATTCTAAACATTTGAAATATTAAAAATCCCTTTTTGAAACATGATACTGAAAATTGATCTAAAGAGCAGACATTTGCTAAGCTTCAGTTCAGTCTATATTGACTTTTGTGACTTTAAAATATTGGCCAATAAGATCAAATCGATTGAATATTGTATATTAATCAAAAATAGAAATAGGAGCACTCATGAATATTGTCCTGGTCCGTTGCCGGCCTTGCAAAAGCAATGATGAAACCAAACTTCGATAATGAGTACAATAAGAGAGCAATAGCCGTACAATACTGTGATGGGTGGTGATACACAGGGAAGGGAAAACATATATAGTAAAGTTGAGAGATCACAAACATACACATGTACTTCATCTATATAAAGCAATAGATAGTATGTAGCATACAGCAGCATACAGTGTTGCTGCTTGCTCCTCGGGAGACGGAGAGACTCTATTTAATTAAATAATAAATCTAATATGCATTTTGTTTATTGTGCCAGCAACAAAACATTTTATTCCGTAATGGCCCAAGAAATGAAGACGCAAACATATGTAGACCAACAAAATTTATACACATGATAGGCATATATATATATATATATATATATATATAATATACCTACTGTACCATTGCATATATATGCATGTGTGCTTATTGCGGCTGGAGTCAAGAGAAAAGACATATACAAAAGTTTATTTTAATTTAAAAAGTTTAAAACTTAAGCTTCAATTAATGATTTATTCATTTATATGTGTACACACACATGTCAAATACAATTTTCGAATACACACTTCTGAAGTTTGCTTTTTTAAAGAAACCAACATAAAGAAAACAATTTCGTCACCTCGGCCATCTGCGAGATTACATACCAGAATGTTTGATGAGCACTTTATAAGGTGCTCCGAACTTAGGAGGGTGACGACGGAATTCATAAGATTCATAAAGCTGAGGAGAATAAAGGGGCTCGAGCGAATGCATTAGATCTTTTCAGGGTATAGTGCGGATTGCATACCACTTCACAAGACACTACAATTCATAATGATAAGAAGAAGGCGTAAGAA